TTTTGTTGACCTTTGTCCATGGAAGGTCCCTGCAAAATTTCATTGAAATTGGTTCAGGGGTTTTGGAGAAGAAGATTTTTGAAATTTTAGTCAATTTGACCCTTTTTGGCCCCGCCCCTCAGGCCCCTGGGGGCTTAGGACTAAACCGGCAACTAGTTTTGTTGACCTTTGTCCATGGAAGGTCCCTGCAAAATTTCATTGAAATTGGTTCAGGGGTTTTGAAGAAGAAGTCGAAAATGTAAAGTGTTTACGGACGCACGACGGACGACGACGGACAAAAGGCGATCACAATAGGTCACTTGAGACTTTGTCTCAGGTGACCTAAAAAGTTGATGCCGGACAGACAGACGACAGACAGACGACAGACAGGCGACGGACCCCGCACCATGGCATAAGCTAACTTGCCCTTTGGGCAGGTGAGCTAAAAATGGTTCAAAGACTCAAAAATAGTTATGAATTCATATAAAGTGGAACTTCAAATTCATAACCTTTAAAATATCACCGTCTGGTATTTGATAATCTTTAAAAAAAAAATAAAAAAATCCAAAAAAAATATTCATATACATATGTCATGGATATACAAGGCTGTACATACATGTAACTGAGGACTTATGATAATGGAGTTCCACTTTATACTTTATACATCACATTATATTTTAGTACTACAATGTATACAAATATTTAATGCGACCTATGCACTGGCCTTTAACCTCACATCCTACTGATTTGTTTTCCATTAGTTAGGCTCCATCTTTGATATGGCAATTTTTAACACATTAAAATTAAATGTGATGCGCAAATAGTTGACTGTAATGATACCAACTTATTCCTACATATTAAAGTCAAGCAAACCTGATTGGTTTAACATAAACAGATGTGTTAATTTGATTGGTTGATCTATGAAAGATTGAGGCCACCAAAAATGTAATTTGATTGGTTAATTTTCATAATTTGATTGGTTTGTTTTAATAGGGATATCAGAGAAAGGTCAATCATTTTGTTTTTTACACAAACAGTATATGTAACATTGCTATGTGAGACTCACATGCACCATAAAACAATGTTACCAGTCGATACATCACAATACCTCACACACAGACAATACAAAGTCATAATGTGTAACTGTAGGCTACACTCACAACCAAATATTTATATGTCCACACCATATAACTGATTTTGTTTGTGACAGAATACATGTTACATTCCTATATATGGGTAGTCATGTATTCATGCAATTCTAGCATTTTCACAGGGACAATATATGGTCCTATCGACCTAAGAAAACATTTTAAATGTCTTAATGATATATTAATATTTTCACTATATTTTAAAAGTTCGTTTACCAGTATTAAAAGAAGTTGACAAATTAACAAATTTCAATGAAAACATATAATCAATTTGAGTTGAAAGTCAATAAGATTTGACCATTAGATATAAATAAAATATACTGAGATGCCATTCTGTCACTTAACATTTGGTATGTTTTTGACTAAGGTGTTCAAGTATCAGATTTGAAAAATTCAACAAACTAACAAATACGCCTCAATTTTTTTTTATGTTGAAGCATTAGAGTCAGAGTTTCATGTCAGCCCCTCTGATATGTGGAAGCATTAGAGTCAAGGGTTTCATGTTAGCCCCTCTGATATGTGGAGGGGGTAGAGTCAAGGATTTTATGTCAGCCCCTCTGACATGAAATCCTTGACTATAATGCTTCCACATATCACAGGGGCTGACATGAAACCCTTGACTCTATATCAGAGGGGCTGATATGTAATTGCATTAGAGTCAAGAATTTCATGTCAGCCCGTCTGATTTGTAGAAGTATTAGTGTGGAAGCATTAGAGGAAGCATTATTATAATCAAGGACTTCATGTCAGTCCCTCTGATATGTGGACGCATTAGAGTCAAGGGGTTCATGTCAGCCCCTCTAATATGTTGAAGCATTTGAGAGAAGGATTTCATGTCAGCCCCTCTGATATGTGGAAGCATTAGAGTCAAAGATTTCATGTCAGCCCCTCTGATATGTGGAAGCATTATTATAATCAAGGATTTCATGTCAGTCCCTCTGATATGTAGAAGCATTATTAGAGTCAAGGATTTCATGTCAGCCCCTCTGATATGTAGAAGCATTTGAGACAAGGATTTCATGTCAGCCCCTCTGGTATGTGGAAGCATTAGAGTCAGGGTTTCATGTCAGCCCCTCTGATATGTAGAAGCATTATTAGAGTCAAGGATTTCATGTCAGCCCCTCTGATATGTAGTAGCATTAGAGTCAAGGATTTCATGACAGCCCCTCTGATATGTGGAAGCATTATAAGACTCAAGGATTTCATGTCATTCCCTCTGATATGTAGAAGCATTATTAGAGTCAAGGATTTCATGTCAGCCCCTCAGATATGTGGAAGCATTAGAGTCAAGGATTTCATGTCATTCCCTCTGATATGTAGAAGCATTATTAGAGTCAAGGATTTCATGTCAGCCACTCTGATATGTAGTAGCATTAGAGTCAAGGATTTCATGTCAGCCCCTCTGATATGTGGAAGCATTAGAGTCAA